GATTATTAAAATCTTTTCATAAAACTAAAAAATAAGTAAAACAAACAATGTATGGGATAAACACTTCCTCCCCAAAAGTAGTAATGAAAACAAAATTCAAGAGGGGGAGGCAAGGGAATGGGATAGGGATGGAGAACATAGGAAGATGTAAATTATTTGTTCTTAGCTTAGGCATTAGGTTCTTAAATGTTCATTTTATTAGCACAAATAAATGAAAATAAATAAATGAAAAAAAAATAAGAATTTTCATTTAAGTTTGTTAATTAAATATCTATAAAGCTGATTCTATTAAACTGATTATTTCAAATCTGAGCACATGCATTATTGCCAATATGACTGGGAGAAAGAATAAAATCAAACTACTGTGTTACCATAGCCACTTTCATTCATTCACAAGTATCTAAAACCTTAAAAACTTTCTAAAATGCAAAGAAAAGAAATTTAAGTTATATGTTCCACACAGTACTGCACGAACATATTTATTCTCTTTTTTTATAGGATACATTTTCTTATTTCTTAACAATAGTCATTCATAGTCCTATTTCATTTCAAAATTGTGTAAATATCTTTCTGTGGATTCTATTAGACAATGTGAGAAATGTATTTTAGAAGGGTATTTATTAATCACTCAAAATAATTCTTATTAAATTTTATGTGAAATGGAGAACACATGCAAAAATTTACCTGACAAGCAATGTGCACGAGGTAGACCAGCTCTTTAGATTCACAGCCATTTTTTGTTACTTCATTCTGTTCTTCTGAAAGTGAAAGCTATGTCAAAGAAGAAAGGGAAAGAAAGTCAATGATTAATAAAAAAGAATAAACTAGGTAATCAGTAATACCTGAACCCTCACGTCAGTTCAATGTAAGATATGCCTTATAGTAGAACTCTATTACTTACAGCAGATAAAATGAAGAATTCAGGGTTTTATTAAAAAATGTTTCTATGAATTGTCTTTGTAGCTTATATCTAAACAAGCACAACTGCATAAAAGCAGTAAATAACGTACATTCATTCTAGAGCAGGTCTTCATGTCCTTAATTTATTTAGCAAGTATGTGCAAGGAAGGCACTCAGATGGGCACTAAAGAGACAGAGTGACCAGATGATTTAAAAGGGTTCAGACTCTATTACAGAGATTACAAACTGTGGCCAGGTTTTATTTCAGACTCACCATGTAGGTCTGAACACTGGGTTTATTATATTTTTATTCGAACCAGCTACTAAAATTTAGAAACTGAGTGGTTTCATATGAAAAATACAGATTTCTGGCTTCCATTGAAATCAGAAAATCAGAAATATTGGACCTATATTATCATATGGACAACAACTGCAGGAGCTGAGAAGTGACCAACCCCTTTAAATGTCATGTATTCTCTAAGAGATACTTTGCACAGAACTGATTATTCTTTATTTTTTCACCAGTGCCTATGCTGAATATTAACTGTCATTCACCACATTGCTTGTTTTGTTTTTTCACACCCTACCCTCTTCATTCATTTATATATATATTTTTTATTGAAATATCATTGACATATAATTTCATTCACTTATATTACATACCTGCCCCATTTAGGAATGTGAATTTGCAACTCTGCTCCAAAGATAAACAACCCTGAGTTTAAAAGTGTCACTGACTGACTATATAACATTGATCTACCTACTTACATCTCTCATCTGGAAAATGGAGATGACATAATAATGTTTATTCTTAAGTTTGTGAGTATCAAATGAGATAATGAATTTAAACGAAGATGCCTAGTACTCAGTAAGTATTTAGTAAGTGCTATCTATCATCATAGTTACTAGTATAAGAAATATGACACTGACAAAGAAATATTCCCTATTTTTGAAAGTAGTATCATGGAAGTATCTTTTTTTAATTCTGATATTGAGTAGAAGTTCCCAAGACAATGCTCATTCTCACACTAGCCAAAATAAACCAGGTGAACTACAAAATCATAATTAAAAAAAATAGAGAAGGCTTATGGGTAAAACAATACTGAACGAACTAAGTTGCTTACAGTGTCAAGACTTTTACGGAACAGAAGACACTTATGAATGTGCTGAGATGTCTGGGAAAGATGGAGGACGACAAAGAATCTACTTTCAGCTGAAGAGAAAGCAGCCATACCCTGAAGACTACATGTGAACTGAAGTGACAACCTAAAATTCCAAACAGCACCTTGTGGCAGACAGTCAACACTCACCCATCAGCTGGTTCTCACAGGTTTTCACCAAGTGTGTAGGATCAGTACTCCAAAGGGTGGGATAAGAGCAGGAGAACCAAGAGAGACAAACCCATGAAGTATGTGGAGGCTCCTCAGGCACAAGGCAATGAACCACTGTTGATGGAGAGCTGGGGAAAGAAGCCAGGAGAGGGCAGAAACACTGAGAGCCCTCTAAGGTACTCGGGACATTCAACCACTCAAGGATGCACAGAAGAGCTGAGAGAAACCCCACGGAGGCAACTTAGGGCTTCACAAAGTATAGCACAGCTACCTACCAAGATCTGAAATAAAGTAGAGGGAAGGGAGTTCTTCTTTGGAACAGAAAGCTGAAGAAGGGACTGGAGAGCAAAGAGAAGTAACAACCATGTGGTAAAGAAGAGATACAGACAGAGCATATGCTCTTCAACAATTCAGAAAACTGCTGGCTTAGCAGTAAAGCACAGAGATCTTCAGACATCTCACCAATTTTCAATTTCCCTTGCTGAAAAAACTCCTGAACTTCCAAACAGAAAGGAGAGGTTATAAAATTTTTAATTGTCAACAGCTGAAATAGAAATAGACTAGAAACAAAATCAGTTCCTAAGCAGAACTTTGGTGGCAGGGGAGGAGGGCTAACAGCAGAGAAGGATGGTCAAATTGTGTCAACAAAATGGGAGCACAGGCAACTCCAAACTCCAGTCCTTCACGGAAACATGAAAAAACAAGCAAAAATTCTCACAACCAACTTTCTCAGTTACTCCAGAAAACACTAAAGGTTTACAACCACTATGAGAATAATGAGTTTTGAAAAAGCCAATTTAAAAATTGTAGGAAAGCTTAGTATTTCTACTGGTTCTTGCTCCGCAGCCCTAGTTCCAAGAGTAGGACCCTGGTCCTGGATGGTAAGAGCAAAGACATTATTCACAAACTATTGTGTTTTTTTTTCTGACCTGTCTTGCTGCTACTTGAAGGCCTGCACAAGGCACACACCTCTCTTTCACCTAATTTGAAACTCACAAATAAAAGCAGCAGCACTGCATAAAAATATTGTAAAGTAAACTAAAAGCTGCAGTCACCTGGAGGACAAGATTATTATAGTTAAGATATATAACAGACACCTTAAAGTCCAGGAAGAAAAACTGAGGAGAGAGCTTCTTTGGGAAATCAGATCACTAAAAAGTACCTGTGCATACGGGGGCATTTTGAAACACACAAACACGACCAGGTAGAACATATGTATACAAAGACATAAAAACACACCAATGTTTTAAACAGCCTGGTTAAATGTTGAGTGAGTGCCCCAACACAGAGAAAATGTGCAAACACTGAAGGAAATGGCTTTTTGTTTTGTTTGTTATTTTATTTTTAGCTCCTGGCATTCAAGGAATTCCCTGACAAAACACTATGTGAACACAAGCTAAAAGAGAGACTTCATGAGCACACATAACATGGAATAGAGTCTCTTCAGAAAACAGTCTGGAAAAGTGTCTAAACAAACAGACTTTCTGATCAAAAAGAGCAAATCTGTGGAAAGAGGTAGAATCTAATTTTTAGGATTACCTCAGCATAATATTCAAACTGCAGTATGCAACAACAAAAAGAAAATCATGAGATATAAAAAAAAAACAGGAAGACATGCATCATTCAAAAGAAGAAACGTAAAATAAACCAATAAAATCTCTCCCTGAGAAGTCCAGATATAAAACTTACTAGATTTGAAGTGAACCATATAAAACACAAGAGCTCAAAGAAACCACAAGAAGTAAAGGAAATTAAGAAAACAATAGACAAATGAAAGTTTCAATGAAGAGGAGAAAAGGGAATCACACACAAACTCAAGGGATGACCATTACAGTAACTAAAACTAAAAATTCACTTAAAGAGCTCACCAGCAGATTTGGAAAAAGAACCTGCCTAAAGATAATACAACACCTGGCGCATCAAAGATGGCGGCATGAGAGGTGAGACAGAGAACTCCTCCCAAAACCACATATACTATGAAAATATAGTTAATACAATCCTAAAAGAACAACAGGAAAAAAGACTGTGCCACACTGCATACACCTGGAGAACAGAGCAGACCTCACAATTCAGGGTAACTTAACAAAGCCTTGATCCGGTGGCAACCAAGCACTTCCCCCACCCCAGCTCACGGTCAGGAGGAAGAGAAACAGAGAGGGGAGGGGTGGAAGCCTAGGACTGCTGAACACCCAGCCCTGGAGATCTTCTTTGGGAGCACAAACTTATATTGCTCTAGAAATTAGTGGGGCTGGAAAGCTAAGACAGAGGGAATACTTGGAGAGACAGAGATTCTAGCCATTTGTGGAGGACAGGGATCCACATCCAGCTGCTCTGGGACAAAGGAAAGGTGGGCAGTCTGAGAGGCTTTCTAGCAGTGTGAGGGCTACTGAAAGGGCGGGTATTGCACGGAGCTTGCTACTGGGGAGAAGGGATAGGTGGACAAGGTTATCTGAGAGCGCTCTGCCCAGCAGGTTGGGAACTTTCAGGAACTTCAGATGCTCCATTCCCCAGGATGGTTACTCAGTTCTGAGGCTCCCCACTGTGATACGCAGCCTGTATCACCTTCATCCTGGTCTGCCAACACCAGCTCGCAAACTGACAGTCCCTGCCCTGGCGTCGGGCCAGCCAGAGAGAAGCCCCACCTACAGCAGCTACAAACACAAAGCACACAGGTTTACACCTGTGTGCTCAGACTACTGGTTCTGACAGTGGAGCCAGGCACTGCAGCTGAGAAGCAGGAAACAGCTCTTTCTTCCCACAGGGCACCAGTGCCATTCCCCTGAAACCCCCGACATCACTCCAGGGGCTGAGCAACTCCAGACACTACAGCCTCTGGGCACTAGAGGGTACCACATGCAAATATGAAACATCAAAGGAACCTGGTTCAAACCAAAATCTCACAAACAACAGAAAAATGGCCAAGTGAAACTGAACTCACCAATCTTCCTGAAAGAGAGTTCAAAATAAAAATCATAAACATGCTCATTGAAGTACAGAAAAATATTCAATAACTCAGGGATGAATTTAGGACAGAGATTCAATCATTAAAAAATTTCATATCTGAAATGAAACATATAATGGAGGGATTTAAAAGCAAATTAGATGTAGTAGAAGAGACAGTAAATGGAATAGAAATTAGAGAAGAGAAATACAAAGAAGCTGAGGCACAGAGAGAAAAAAGGATCTCTAGGAATTAAAGAATATTGAGAGAACTGTGCAGTCAATCCAATTGGAAAAGTATTCGCATCATATGGGTACCAGAAAAGGAGAGAGAGAAGAGAGAGAAAAAGGGATAGAAAGTGTCTTTGAGGAGGTGATTGCTGAAAACTTCCCCAATATGGAGAAGGAGATTGTCTCTCAGGCCATGGAGATGCACAGATCTCCCAACACAAGGGACCCAAGGAAGACAACACCAAGACATATAATAATTAAAATGGCAAAGATCAAGGATAAGGACAGACTTTAAAAAGCAGCTAGAATGAGAAAAAAGATCACATACAAAAGAAAACCCATCAGGCTATCAGACTTCTCAAAAGAAAT